ATCTATCTATCTATCTATCTATCTATCTATCTATCTATCTATCTATCCATCCATCCATCCATCCATCCATCTACCAATATATCTATCTGCCTGCCTGCCAGCCTGTGTGTCTATCTATCCATCCATCCATTCATCCATCCATGTACGAAGCACTGGCCCTGCAGGCGCATCAGGAAAGTAGAGCAAAGCCAGTCTGGGAGGGAGGGAGGGAGAGAGAGAAAGAGAGAGACCTGATGCATCAGATTGAATGAGGCCTAGTTTAGAATTGAGGCCCTTTTCCACATTGAAACATCTTTGGCTTCTATTAAAGGTTTTGTGGACAAAACATGGTCAAGACTATCAGGAAGCTCTCAGATTTTGTTGAGGCCTTAAACAGGATCCATTGGACCAGATCTCCACCCTAAAAATTATTTTTCTCCAATGTATTACAGTGCCAATTCTGAAGAAGGCAAAACCAAAATGTACTGTAAATTACAAAGAGAACACATGCACACACACACACACTCCCTTCTAACCCTGCTGGAGCAGGTGATTGGACTAGAATAGATATCTCATTATCTTTCTTCTCCCTCCCTCCTTATTTCTTTTTCTTTCTGTCCCTTTTCTCTTTCTTTTCTTTCTCTCTTTCTATCTCTCAGGCTCACCCCTTTAGATCAGAGGTTGCCAAACTTTCGGACCTCAGGGACCACCAAACTCATAATTTTAAATCCCGGAGACTACTCATATGAATTTTGACTGACGGTGGCTTTCTAATGTTGGTGGGAGAGAGAGAGAGAGAGAGAGAGAGAGGTCTGATCCAACCTCTCTCTCTCCCTCTCTCTCTCACACACAGGTAAGGGTGGGATTTAGACCCCTGATCTAAAGCTGTCAAAACTCCAAAAACAGGTCAAGTAGCTCTGGGGAGGCCAGTCATAAATTAGAACACTTGCTAAACAACCGCCATTAAGTGACGACCACTTGTATTTGGTTTGCCAGTCACCTGGCCACGCCCACCCAGTCACATGTCCAGCAAGCCACACCCTCAAATTAGGCCATGCCCACAGAAATTTGAATCCCACCCCTGGGTGGGGGGCACTGAGGATGAGTTTGTAGCACCAAGGGGGCGGTGGACTTAAAAAGTTTGGGAACCACTGCTCTAGATAATAAACATACTGTTAGCATATTAGAATGAGTACTTTATTAGAATATTTATATTGTTAAGACATAAAACTACATCTCATTTTATTTAAGATATTGACTTTTTTTTCATTTTCACAAGTCTTATCTAAGGATATAAGATAAGGTGTATATTCCAAGGATAGCTTTTTATTAGATAAGGAGGGTTGATAGTAATGTATATAATCTATGCTGGAAGGAGAGGGTTTTGTGACTTGCCCACCTAACAGCTTGCAGCCATTGCTATTGGGTGAAGAATAAAGAACTTAATTTCAAACACTGTTTTTTCCCTTCAGCTCAGAACTGACTTGGCAAGAAATAAAAATATTCACAAAATACCTAATTGTCCTGTCTCCTATTTTCCCCACAATAAACCTGTGAGGTGGGTTGGGTTGAGAATGATTAGCCCAATCTATGTGGTTAAATTCATGAAGTCACTAGAATTTAAATTGGAATTGAAGGAGACTTTATCAAGTTTTAGAACTGTGAATCTGATAATTTCTAGATAAGTCCTCTAAATAAAATTATTTGTAGAGGTGAAAGTTTGCATGTTATAAACATAATTATCAATATGTGACTTTTGTGCAATGTTTTTTTTTAATGTGTTTGCTTAGCCATAATCCATATTTACTACTTTGTTTACTTCTTACAGAGTCCTAGAAACATTTGTGGTTGTTCTTCCAGAATAAAAAACCAGGCATCAGCCATCTGCATCAAGGAACATTTCTAAAAATGTACTCTTAACTTAAAAGGTAGCTATTATTTAATTTGGACATTTTTTTCATGCTCTTTAAAAACACTTGTGGTGATTTGAAGCATTTTATTTACATGGTGCATTAGGAACACAGCATTCTGCCAAAAATCTAGCCTCTAGCTAGCATGTTCTGTGCCAGCTGCTCCAGTTTGCCTAAGAAACGAGCACCATGTGACCTTAGTTAAAAAATAAATGGTACTCATCTATTTTAATGGTTCTTTGAAATTATCAAAACCTGACTCGACTTCTCCAGGTATCAGACTTATTAGCTCAAGTTCAGTCACTTCTGACATATACAGTTTGTTCCCTGGGCTATTCCTCCCCCTCAGATGTTTCCACCAAGTCTGCTCTTTCATACTTTTGTTCATTTGATTAGTTTCCATAGTGACACTCCCTTGTGAAGTTTAGAGGTCCCTCCCAGCAGGTTCTCTTAAATGAAGCTGCTGATCACCAGGTTTTTGTGCCAGGTTAACAAGACAAACTCAGCCTTATTTCAAAGCCTATTTTCATGGAATGCCTTCTGTGTCATTTTATTTTATATTTCATTTTGAATTCACTTGAGAAGCTTTTTCAGCTTGGGGAGGCCATTTGCAAAACAACTTGACTGATAATACTCTTCACTGAATTGCAGTTGCCCAACTGCTCAAGATTACATAAACCGAAGGAATTTTTTTTTAACTTCCAGTATGTTTTCAAAGGACACAAATGCCTCACTTGTTTGTGTTTCAAGTGTGATTTGGCTGCTCAGTGACTTTTCTTCAGGACAAATAAACATTTAAGGCATTCTGTCCGTATAAGTAGACAACAAAATGTATTTAATAGACTCAAAACTTTAATAAATTGGAGGTGTCTGTGTTGCTGCATATACTTTGATTGGAACTATTTCAGGAGGCATCTCCCATACAGTCAGTCAGACAAGAGCAGTTTATATGTTTGGAGCTACATTGAGATCCAAGCTGAAAGGTACTCTTCACCAAGATTTCCTTTGATTTTCAAGCAAACACACAAATGCATACAGTATATATAGTCTGATACAGTACGTATAGTCTAATTAGACAAAGTACATAATCAACTCTATTGAGTATATATATTTTTGTTACTGTATTTATACCCAGTTTATAGGACAGGGGTACAAATAGTGCAATATCACCTTAATTCTTTTGTAGCCAGGATCTCTCAGTGGATGAAATCATCTTTTGGGGTGGTTTTACTGGACCTGCTTAGAACTCTTTTAAGAGTAAAATGAGGTAATCCTTCAGGAAATTCAAAGTAGCATCTTAGAAATCAGGGCCACAGTATCCTTTTCCCATCCAGTTTGGGAGTTTAGCTCTCAGTTCTTGAGTTGAAGGTATGTGTAAAGTTTTGTTCTGGTCATTCAAGATGGCATTTTGGGATATTTTATTGTATGAAGAACAACTCTGCAAGTGAGTTAGATTTATGAAGGGCTGAATTGCATAGAAATTTGAACCTGAGCTTCAGAAGTCCAAATCCATCACAATTTATGATGGCATTGCTTAGTGACAGAAATTTTGGTATCCAGTGCTGTTGTAACTTGAAGACTACCTGTAAATAAATAGGAATATTAACTTTTGAAAAAAATCATACCAACTTTACAAACTTTAAAAAAGATGACTCGGACGTGCTTCACAGCATCTGTAGAAGAAAAAAGCAGGTTTACCCACACCCCAGAGATTTTGGTGGAAATCAGTTAACTTCAAAGAACACACATTAAATCCTATTATCTGGGGTTACATATCGTGTCATGTTAACATGCTCTTTATGTAAAAGCTCTTAACCTGACACCCTTGAAAATTTCAAACAGGGCCCCCAAAACTCTCAAACGCGTCCTTCAGAGACTTTCAGAAGTTATTTTTAAATTGGCATTTTTAATGAGATGGAAGGAGAAATATTAAACTCAAGTTTGGAAAGAAATCTAATCTACTTAACTCAATGGAAATGGCAGTGAAATAAATGCTGTTTTTGTCCTACATCACCTACTATATTTTGAAATGCAACATGTGGCATGCTTCCAGCCCAGAGAAGACTGCAAAACCCTATAATAGAGAAAATGAATGTGATATGTATATTTATGTAGATTTTTGGTCTGACTAATCTGGGCCTTTTTTTTTAAAAAAAGGAAGAAAATTCATCCCAACCTATAATTTTATTTTCCTTGTAATATGAGCCATTTAGAGTAGTTGAATACAATCAGGGCCGTATTGAGATACTTGTTGGCTTCAGACACACTTAGCTTTGTAAGCTGTCATTGCTACAACATTCCAAATGCTAGGGTTATAAAACTATTCTCTGGATCCATTTTTTTCAACGAGTTGAAGAAAGTTGAAGTGCATATAGATAGTCCTTGACTTATGATCACCACTAAGCCCAAAATTTCCATTACTAAGCAAGAAGTGAGTTTTGACCTATTTTATGACCTTTTTTTGCTACAGTTAAGTGAATAACTACAGATCAGTGGTGGTAACTGGTTTGGCCTGTGCAGCCGAACCGGTAGCTCCAAGGATCATCTGTGAGCAACCTGGTTCACTTCGATGATCAGCTGTTGGGCCCGCCTGCCCCAGCTCTATACTGACCTTTATTTCCTGGTTTTGAAGCTCAGATGCTTTGCGCGGCACAGTGGATTGGTGCATGTCAGCTGTTGAAGACACAGGGAGAGTGCAGGATTGTAGGTCAGTAGCAAACCCTCTGCATGCACACAAAGCACGCCCAAGCCACGCCCACAGAATCGGTGGTAAAAAAAAATGAAACCCACAACTGCTACAGATGTTAATTTGCAACATTGTTGTTAAGTGAATCTGGGTTCCTCACTGATCTTCCTCATCAGGTAACAAAAGGTGACTCTGGTACATTGCAATATGAACCAGTTGCTAAGTGTCCAAATTTTGATCACTTGACTATGGGAATGCTGCAATGGTCGTAAGTGTGAAAAATAGTCATAAGACTTTTTTCAGTAACTTTGAATGATCACTAAATGGTTGTGAGGACTAATCATGTATGTATATTACAAAGCAATAAATATTTTTAATTTCAAGCTATATAAATTTTGATTTTATTTTTAAAAGATGTTTAACTTGAATCATTGTTGTCAGTCCATTGTGTCTATTGTAGCTAATGTTTAGTTGTAGCTGCAACATAAACAGAGAAAACACAATATGGATACATTGAAAGATATTTTTTTTTTGCTTTCCTCAGACTACACTGGACCTGAATTACTTTTTAAATTTTTTTTTATTTCACTCCTGTCAGCAAATCTGTTTTTTTTTTCCCAGAGGGTTATAGATAGACAGATACGATCCTTACCCTCTTTACATAACTTCTTTCCAACTGTCCACTGAGTTGGGAAGAATACAAAGCACAACAATAAAGCATAAGACCGACAAACAAAAAAAGCAAACAAAATCTAGTGTACAGAAAGGTTCTGCTAAAAAATACTGTGATGAAACAGGAGTGAAAGGAAAGAGAGAAGGGATACTCTCTGGCCAAATGGGTTTTGTGGGGAAGTCTGGAATATTCAATCTGTGCAGTCAAGTGTTCCTTTTGATAGGATCTCATTAAGATTGTCTTTCAACTGACTCTACGTATGGAATTGTGGTAAGCATGTAAAGGTAGAGTGAAGAAAAGATCTAGAGATGTAGCTTCTTTCAGTCATCATTACTTGGTACATTTCCCTAAACCTAACTTCTTAATACAGCATATATAAAAACAATATACTTGCTGAAGTGGTTTGAAAGAGGGGTCAACATTGAACAGCCGTCTCTCAACAAAGGGGGAGGAATACAACATGATCTCTCTCTACAACACAATCTTTTCAACAGTTCCAAAAAGGCTCCACACCCATTTGCACTACTCAGATGAGCCTGAGGACACAGATAAACCTCCAAGTGGCCTCAATGACTCCATAAAAGAATGCAAATGACCAATTGTCTGCAAGAAATATTAATGCTTCCTACCAACCAGTCAGACTTGAAAAAGCTTCTTGGATATGAAGCAAAATGTCTTCAGAGAAAAATGAGAAAGTCCAGTTGCCTCTTGAAAATGCACTTTTGGGCCAACGATGACGTAGATGGCTGAGAATCACCATAGACAGCAAGGTTTTGCACTTAGGCAAGAAAAACCAAATTCCCAGGTATAGGTAGAATCTGTCTCTAGGCTACTTCTGCGGCCTGCCAGCTGCCTGCAATTTAGCAGTTCAAAACTCACCAGGCTCAAGGTTGGCTCAGCCTTCCATACTTCCAAGATGGGTAAAATGAGGACCAGATTGTTGGGGCAATATGCTGACTCTAAACCGCTTAGAGAGGGCTGTAAAGCACTGTGAAGCAGTATATAAGTCTAAGTTATTGCTATTGCTATCATTGCCTTTTTCAGAGTATAATCCTTTTCAAATCTTGACTATGAAAGATTTTAAATGTCTATTCTGATTGAAGTAATCAGAATATTTTAAAAAGAAAAAAATTGCCATGGAAATATAATTGGTGAAGCCATATTTTTCTGCACCAGATTTATATAATGTCCTATTTATCTCATCTCTACTTTGCTTGCTATTCCAAAATATCAGAGAGAGGTCATGAGTCACTCAAATTGGTCCAATACATTTGGATGTGACATTCCTTAGGGATGCAACTTCAAATTGAGGTCCTTCTTCTGAATATCTATGAGGTTCCTGAAACAAACCGTGGAAGTTTATTTTTATTTTTTTTGTATTTATGCTTGTTTCTACTGGTTTCCCTTGATAACTTTAATTCACATTACTCTTTGGCAGAATTTTAAAAAGCTTCACACTGCGTTATTGTTTGTTTGTGTTATTGAAGCAGAGATAATTTTTAGAAAGACATTTTAAGCAAACTTCTCAAAGGAGGAAGAACTAGGAGGATTCTTAATAAACACTGCATGCCACATTTTAAACCCTGAAGTTAGTAGGTATGCTTTTATGCTAACATATTACAAAAGATTACTTTTTGCTGGAAGAAGTAGAAAATACTATACTCATCATGTATGCTCTAGTTTTATCACAGCAAAGAATAGATAGGTCCTGTTAATGATATGAATGTATATGCATATAAATATCCTGTTCTACATATCCATTATTTATAAATATATATGCATACATATATGCACATGCAGATACAAAGAAACAAACATGCACACAAAATGTATTAAAGGGTACTTGATTGGTATATTTCAAGGATACTACAGTATATTCTCCTTACAAATTCTTCTGACAGCCTAATACAGTGGTTCCCAACCTTTTTTTTGCCCTGCACCCCAAAAGAAATTTCACTCGAACCTCACACCCCCTGAAAAATTTAGACTTTAGGAACTACTGAACGCGTTAAATATATGGTAGGATTGAATCTTTTCAGCTATGTATGTGACGGCCACTAAATAATGATACTTAACTCTAAAATGAAAACAAAGTTAATCCATTGCATAATAAATAAAAATGCCAACATATAGCCAATATTCTATTATTTACCTGGACTTTTCTCGCATCCCCTGGAATATCATCTTGCACCCCCAGGGGGTGCGAGCACCCCAGGTTGGGAACCCCTGTCCTAATAGATTCCAGCAGGGAG